TCGAGCTGGGTCGAGTTTCTTTTTCACGCTCATGCACTTTGACTCAGACTCAGCTAAAACATAACAGCCCTGTATGAATCTTAAACTCATTTCAGGTTTGGAGTGTGGTTGGGTGAGGGCCATCTCTATAACCACACACACACAACATCACACACACACCACACACACACACACACACACACACACCACACACACACACACACACACCACACATAGACACACACACGCACACACACACGCACACACACACACCACACACACACACACACACACACACACACACACACACACACACACACACCAATGCAGACATGGGTACATACAGACACACAGCGGGTTGCTCTGTCAGTTGTAAGCTGCTGGGGTGGAACCTGAAGAAACCACTTCCTGTCTTCCTTTTAGCTTGTTGCTATAGCGCTGAGGCTAGATTGTTTGTTTTTGTCTCAGCCAGTGAATGATAACCGGTGCTACACATGGTGGCGGTTCTGTGTAGTTTGTGTTTGATTATGTAAAGCTAATGACTTCCTCAGGCCATAAACACAAAGCTGCAGTGCTCTCTGTGTTAATCAGTGAAACCGTTTTGGACAGACACGACGACACACACTGAGATACAACTGACTGCTGCTCAGTGTGAGGATCATATGTGTTACAGACAAACCTGTTAGGGTGGTTGTACAGAAAGAGATCAGTATGTAGACAACATGAGACTTGTACATGAGACTTCCCCTCTGTGCCCAGAGAGTCATAAAGAGTCACATCACACCAAGAGTGTAGGTTCCCCTCCGAAACAAAGAGATTGGCTTTTTAATGCTGTCAACCAAACGGTTTATTAACATATAAGATCTGAATTTCCATATATGAAATATGAAGGAAAATCATGGATGTATTTAAAGTATAGCCTCTATATGTAAAAATTACATATGAAACCTGTTAGAAATTGGAACAATATTATATATTGACATGTCTAGCTAACAGAAACATGTATTTTAGTGTGTCTGTTTATATTAATGACTTTTATCTTCGTAAATCCAGAAGATGTACATATGTCATAATGATATATCCTCTCATAAGGGACACATATGGTAACATTATTATTGATATAGGGACAAATATGCCATCTATATGTCATAGGTCATAGTATAGTAAGGCATAAAAAGGCATAAAAATGTCACAATATATTAAGGGGAAAAAAAACATCAAAAAACGTTGTTATTTTCAGGAGCCACAGTAGTCTGCATACTGTATGTTGTCTGTAGGTAACTTGGCCCTGTGCTATAGAATATGCACTGTATGTTAATATGTACCAACAATTAACTACATTATTAAATGTGCACCATGCCTCTGGTTGGAGCATCAGAGACCAGCAGCCACTGAAACACTGGTGGCCAACATTGTATGTTCCACTGGATATCACTTCCCAACAACAGTGTGCACACACAGTGAGACAACACTAGTCAACGCAGTAAGAATCAGGATCATCAGGATCATCATTGTTGAATTTGCTGAGCGTGTGGAAACGTGTCTCCTCTGATCTTTATTGTCAGTGTTGCTTTGGCAACAAACACTGGAAATGATATGAGTGCAGGCATGTAGTGGAGACTCTGCTGGACTTTACCCAGAGGTGTCATTATTGTACAGCGCGTGCTGTCGCTGCACTGTTCTGCTGTGTGTCTGCTGATACTGTGGTTTTCCTGTGTGCTCTGAAAATCAAAAAGTGCTCAGATGTCACGTATAATGCAGGTTATACTCGAGACAGCTGCTTCAACACAAGACGCATATTGTTTTTGTTAACATGTCTATACATTTCTCACCACCGTTCAGAAATGTCCTGGTTTACTCAGTTCTAAGCTTCAAATGCAAAGGAAACCTGCTGGTCTGCTTATTACAGGAGTCTGTGCTGAATGATAAACTTTCACTGAAACCGTCGGCAGTTTTGAATCTGATCAAAAGGAAACTCCTCCTGGCATCCTTCCTGAGCCTCTCTTGCTGCCTCCATTATTCCTCCTCCACCTCCCCGCTGGGTGCTGTCACTACGCCCAGGCCTCGGCCCTTTAGGCCTCTCTGACGAAACAACAAGTTCAACCAGTGGGAGAGACGGAGATCTGACTGGCAACATGTTGGCCTGAAGCCAGAGACACAGACTCATCTCAGAGAGAGAGAGAGAGAGAGAGAGAGAGAGCCATGCTCCCAGGGTCTTCTTCAGATCGTACGTAGATTCACTGGCAGAACGACGGCGCTCACGTACGAGTGACGGAGGTGGGAGTCTATCTGTGCCACAGGCTGAGTCTCTGCTCCCCCGTGGTGCAGTAAATGGATTATAAGGTGCTCGTTCACCTTACATGACGGACTCTGACACTCCTCAGCAGCCAAGAGTTGCTCATCAGATCGTCCGTCTCAACTCACCTGGCCGACTTGTTGTTGAGGAAACAGTGTCAGATAACGTTAGCTTCATCTAAAAAAGAATAAACCTTGTTGTGTTTCCCACGTTTGTGTGTACGAGTGGCTGTTACAAGTGTTTTAACTAGACTCTTCCGATCCTTACTCATCCACAGAGCTTGTTATGAAATGAAATCCAGGGACGGGACTTTTAATCCATGAAGCTTTTCACAGGTTGCAAAACACACGGCACACCTCACCGCCTTATTGTTGAAGCGTATAATCTATAAAAGAAAACAGCAGTATGATGCATCTTTGTTCGTTACCGCTGACTCACCTGTCCTCAGCCTAACTGTGATATTGTAGTGAAGTAAACTCACAGATTTGGACATGTCGTTTAAATATATAGGCTACAGGTGGAGGACGCAGGGAAACGTAGATCCTGTGTGGGTACATAGGAAGCCCTCCTCCTCCTCCTCCTCCTCCTCCAGCAGCTGATCCAGGAGCTTCACCTGTTGGTTTGAGGCGTATTTTAGGATGAGAGGAGGAAAATTTTGACAATCTGCTGCCAATCACTGCAGCTCCTTCAGATGTTTCTTGCAGCTTCTCCGGGGAGATGTGGATAGTGAAAGTGAGTGAACGTTAGCTGAACCTCTAGTTCCTCCTCCATGTTTGTTGTTGCCCAGAGAAGGCCCGCCTCTCAATTCTTCAGATTGGACGATGGGAAAAGCATTCAGAAGGTTCTTGCAAAAACTCCAGATGCTCTGAGAATCTGAAACACGGAGACACCCGAGGAGCATGAGCGCAAAACACTTACCGCCCCTAGAAAACCTCTTCCTGTCTGATCGTGGCCTTAATTGATGTTTTTGGCCACCTGAGGGCAGCGGGTCAGACACAACACTGACATGTTTTCATGTTATAAAGTTTAACATGCTAACGTGTTAGCGAGCAGGTGAATGTAAGGCTAATATTCACTCGCTCTGTTTTGGTCTCCACCAACTCTAGAGAAAAATATCTGGCTCTTTAGATGCAACGTGCTCCGTGTGTGAAAGATGCTCCAGTGCTCTACAGGTGTGAGGTGACCTGCACAGTCACTTTCTGCTGGTTCATCACGTCTCACATGTAGTAAAACCATCAGCTGTTAAATCCCCTTATCAAGAAGAACGTTCACGCCTCTGCTTGTGAGGTGAGCCGACTTTAGCGCGCAGCATTCCTGCACTTTGCACCTCACCTGTTATATCATCCTTATCATCTTCATTAACTGCCAGCTGTTCAACCTGACAGTCAGCTCGTCTGAAGTCGTCCTCGCCCGGGAGGTTTCAGCAATCATCAACCACGCTGAGTTCATATTAACCGCCGGAGCGGCTGAGATGCTGAGGATGCAGCATCTTAAATGTTCAGCTGGCAGAGAATCATTTACAGATAACCCCTGATAGCCGAGGATGTCGCAGAGATAGCAGCGGTTTTATCAGCTGGGCGGGAGCTTCAGGTGTTCACAAAGCTGTTACTGCCTCAGTAACATGTCAGCTGTAAAGGGGATGTTGAGTTTTTTCTCTCATGGATGTGGAAGAAAAAATCTGTCTGGAAAAGAGAAAAGAGAGGAAACACAGTTTATGTTAAATCTAAATTCTGAGATCACGTTGGAGCTTTTAATTTTTAAGTCACATTTAGACTAATACTAAACAAAAATACAAATAAAATACAACTTTATGTCAACAATATGTGATGTAGGGGTGTAAGGAAATATTTGATGATACTGCCTCTCAAAAACAGTTCAAGTCTTTTTTTTATTCATAGTTAAAGTGCAAAGATTTGGAGAAATTTAACTTTAAGTCTCATACTTACATAGAAAACTTCAGGTGTTTTGTGGAACCGCCCCCTGGCTCCTGGTCAAATCGTATCGCCAGATTTTTGTGATAATCGATACGAGATGAGGAGATGTCGAGTCAAATACTTGAACTTACTTGAACTTTCTGTCTCATCATTTTGGGCTAAAATAAATAAATGTAAAAAATAATAGTATGGATCTTCTTTTGTGGGTGGAGCTGCTCGTCCATACGTGTCTTCAGCGTGCGTGTTTAGAGGAGAGATGGCAGCTACGCCACCTGGAAAAACACCTGACGAAGACGCAGCTCCTGACGTCAGTGCAGCTGTGAAGACGTTGTTTTTAAATCTACCTTCATGTTATTTGTCCCAATAAGCTCCATGTACACAGTGTGTAAACAGGGAAGTTACGTGACGTACAGAACATGTAATGATTGTAGTGATGACGTGAACCACCTGCAGTGGAGAAAGTTCACATTAACCGCACTAAATAGTCAATGAATGACCACGTCTGAGAGCAGCTGCTGGTCCCTGTAATCAGACACGTTACCGAGCGTCCTCTGATTCACTTCACATAGAAAAACCGTTAAACCACCAGAGTGAGAGGCTGTAAATACCACAGAGAAATCAGCTGTTGTTGTGCTTCTGTTCCATCTGTCTGAAGGTTTTATGAAATGTCCGAGTCTTCATTGATTATACGTTATAAATTATGGATTAATATCATCATTTTGATCGACTAGTTCATGCTGCACATATAAAGCTGTTCTGACACTGATGTGTGTGTGTGTGTGTGTGTGCAGGATGAGAGTGGTGGGCTGCGGCCTCGTCTCTACCACCTGAAGAAGGGAGCTAATGGCTACGGCTTCAACCTGCACAGTGAGAAGTCCAAACCGGGTCAGTTCATCAGAGCCGTGGACGACGACTCTCCAGCACAGAGAGCCGGACTCAAACCACAGGACAAGATCGTCCAGGTACACACACACACACACACACACACACACACACACACACACACCCATCAGTCCTGCTTGATACTTTGTGTGTTTTATTTAGTTTGTTTGTGTATCAGCTGTAATCCTATTACACCAGTGGGTAAGCAGAAAGCTGAAATCCCTGAAGCGTTAGGAGGTGGAGTGTGTGTGTGTGTGTGTGTGTGTGTGTGTGTTACTGTGGTGTGTATGTTTTTACATGTGTGTGCACGTGTTCATATATCTGCTCCTATGTGTGTGTGTGTGTGTGTGTGTGTGTGTGTGTGTGTGTGTGTGTGTGTGTGTGTGAGAGACACCCGGGTGTTTCGGCTATGTTGAACATGGCTGGGTCGGAGTTAATCCACTTACTGTGTCTGTGGGCTGAACTCGAGGAGGAGGGGGAGGAGGGGGGTAAATAAAGTCATACCATGACTTCACACACACATACATGTTGAGGATTTCAGAATGTGGAGAATGTGATGAAGTCTGTGCAGAGGTCAGAGGTCACCGTGCTCTGTACCACCAGAGACTCCTGCAGCTCAGCTCGTCCTCCCACTGGAATTCCTCAGTTCCCTTATCTGCTGGATGTTTGATTAGCTCCAGCTCTGGGAGTGTGTGTGTGTGTGTGTGTGTGTGTGTGTGTGTGTGTGTGTGTGTGTGTGTGTGTGTGTGCCCTGCCCCGTGATAACAGTTACCCAGCATCCTCCATCACTCTCCTTACTGTCACTCCATTCGTCACTTTTATCTTCGAAACATCACGATAATTCAGTTACTTTGCGTCTGTGTTACTGGAACTTCTCCACCAGTGGAACATTACGCTCCTCTGTGGGGGGGGGGGGGGGTCCAAAGTCACACACTGAGTCACAAGGAACTGAGAAATGTATTATCACCAACAAAAAAAAAAACAACGAACCAACAAACAACAAACAGAAGAAACAACCTCCTCAAAAAACAGACGAACCGACTAAAGCTGACCCCACAGCTCTCACCCTGACAGACACACACATCCATCTATTTACAGTCACCAGCATGAACATGAAACTCTTTACAACACTCACAGACCTGGGTCAGGACTCAGCTGGGGGCTGCCTCCTGGACCCAGACTATTCTAGTCTTAGAAACTCTTGGAACAACAGTAGACCTGTATTTAACCCCCCCCCCCCCAGGTGAACGGGGTGTCAGTGTTTGGGATGCAGCACTCGGAGGTGGTGGCAAACATCAAGTCTGGAGGAGACGAGACCAGTCTGCTGGTGGTCGATGCCGAGACCGACGACTTCTTCAAGAGGTGCAACGTCCTGCCCACTGAGGAGCACCTCACCGGTAACACACACACACACACACACACACACACACACACACACACACACTGCTTCAGTGACTGTTTAATGACGTGAAGCTTCTCTCCTGTAGGACCTCTTCCTGAGCCAGTGTCACAGAGACCATCAGAGGAGGAAGAGGTGAGGACCACTGCACACACACAGTGTAGTCTGATGACATCACTGTGACATCATCAGGGGGTCTCCATGATCCTGAAGTGTAAAATGAGCAGAGTGTCTCTTTAACGAAGAGTGTTTGTGTGACGCTCCACGGCCAGAGGGAGTTTATCAAAAGTAAACAAGGAGCAGCCATGCTTCCCCCTCCTCTCTCCACACACACACACACACACACACACACACACACACACACACACACACACAGAAGGTCAGAGGTCGTCATGAGTGTTTATGGCGGTTGTTACCTAATAGCTGGTGAATGAGTGTTTGTTCCTGCTGCAGCGGAGCAGAATCTGAATCTGAGCGAGTGTGTGAACAGCTCGTTAGTTTGCTCATTTGCATAATCCCCAACTCGCCCTGAGAGTTAAAGCCACTTCAATCCCATGATCCTCCAGGACACAGGAAAGAGAGAGCGATAGAGAGAGAGAAGAAAACGTACGGTGCTGAGCTCTTGTTGCCATGGTGAAGGGTCAGCCACAATGTCACCAGAGGGGCCAATCCACTTTTCCCATGTTGTCAGAGTGTGTGTGTGTGTGTGTGTGTGTGTGTGTGTGTGTGTGTGTGTGTGTGTGTGCACTGATGAAACTGAGTTGAAACTTTGTTTTAAACGTCGTGTACTGCTGTTTGTTTGTTTGTTTGTTTGTTTTCAGTCACTGGAAACAAAAATATAAAAGAACATCGAACGTCTTCCAGCTGCAGACACGTAGATCAAACGCTCCTCAGTGTCTGACTGGAATATAAAGCTCCTGCAGTTGTTGTGGTTTGTTGTGGTGCGTTCACAGCCTGTAGGAAACATCACCGCAGGGCGGGTGTCGATGAGTCAATGTTCAGTCAACAGGTCACGCGTGTTTTTAATGTTTCATCCTTCAGCTTTAATAAGTGACTGATGACTGTAGTTACTGAAGCAGGCTCTGCTGCCCCCTGCTGGACACTTCACACACACTTTTATCTGACTCGTTTGAAGTAATTATATTCTGGGTTTTTAAATACGTGTAGCACAAAGTGAAAGTGCAAACTGTTTAAGACCGACAGTGTTTCGTGTTCATGTTCACACGGCTTCCTCTTTAGGGTTTAACCTCCTGACAGTGAAGCCAGTGTCACCATGTGTTGTGAAATAAAATTTAAAAAAGACGTTACAGGAAATTCATCATCAGTCTTTTCAGAAACTTCTCTGTGAAGACTTTAAATTAAAAACTATTTTATTTTAGTAGAAACAGTCTCATGATGAGACATCTTGATGATGATGTTCAGAGTCAAACCAACACAAGACTCTGACTGACACGTTTGTCTGTGTAGCTCAAGTTACATTTATATTATATTATATTATATATAGTAGTGTTGTCAGTGTTGTCCTAAAACACCAGACTTGATAATATCAGATGTCATGTTCCTGAAACATAAAAAACAATATTATTCTGTTATAAAAAACTAAACTGAAACATAAGATACAGTGATTATAAATCAAAATAAATAACAATCAAATCACAATATAATAATAGAAATCAACCCCCTGCAAAAAAAGAAATGTAAACATTGTGTACCGTTGTGTTGTGAACATCGTGGTGCCGCTAAGAACCGTCAGTCAGCTGTTTCACATGCAGGTGTTCAGCAGGAACACGTGACTCTGAGCCGAGAGAATCGGAGACGATCGACAGACATGACGCTGATCATGAGACTTGTGAATAAGTCGTTAATAAGTGTAACACCAGATTGATACTGTGTGTGTGTGTGTGTGTGTGTGTGTGTGTGTGTGTGTTTGAACAGGTGTCAGTGATAAAGACTAAAGGGTCTGTGAGCTCGTCGGCCTCCAGCGCCTCCTCCAACACCTCCCTGCCAGCAGCGACCACCAGCACCCCCCCTCCAGAGGTAACATCCCATCATGGAACATTAGATCATCATAACTTTATATATATTTTTTACTTATATTTTCATGTAACTTTCCTGTTTCATTGTTTGTTTTTCTTTTGTTTTTAATTCCCCCTTTTCTTTCCGTAAAGCCCTTTGTAACTTTGTTAAGTAAATAAAGTTTATTAATATTTTATTATTAGGAACAGAATGACAGAGTTCAAGAATAAAGTTGAGATATTTTGAGAATTATTTTGAAAAATAATGCAGCTTTTTTAAAGATAAAATATGTGAAATTATAACTGTGATTTATATTATTATTGTATTTCCCCCAATCCTCCAGTCTGCTTTAAATTCAATCAATAAGACTCATTAATCAACTCTACAATGTAATTACAGCTGTTTATGAGACATGTAAGTGTCAGACATGAGTCACACTCTGATCGTGACTCATGTTGGTTGAATGTGGATCATGTGACTGAGCTGAAAATATACAAATAGGTCGTTATTATTAACGTTTGTGTGTAAATCCTGCTGTTGAAATGTATAGAACAGTCCTGGGTCAGGGTGAGAATAACAAACTGTGTTCTGTGTCTCCAGGCCGACCGGGCCCCGGAGCCGGCCTCAGGAACCGGGGGTCTGGGTCTGGGTCTGTCGCTGGCTCAGGCCAGAGAACGAGCCCATCAGAAACGAGCCGCCAAGAAAGCCCCGCCCATGGACTGGAGCAAGAGGAACGAACTCTTCAGCAACTTGTAAACACCATCATCATCATCATCATCATCATCATCATCATCCCCCCCCCCCCCCCCCCCCCCCGTGGAGAACCCAGAGAGATAATCAGTGTCTGGTCTCTGGATCTGGTTCTGACCCCGACAGACACAGTGTTCGTTCAGAACATTTTAAAGTCCCGTGTTTAAACAGTATTATTGATGATCTCATTGTTTTAATTTAGGGTTTTTGCCACTTTTGAAATGTCAATGTCACACACAGGAATGAATGTTAATATATGAAGCAGGATGTTGGAGAGAGAGTAGAGATGTACAGGTCCTCACGTCAGCAGTGACGGGGCTGCAGGGAAAATAAATTATTGGCAGATTTTTGAAATCTAGTTTAAATAAAGGTGAGACGTCGGCGTCTGAAATCAGCAACTAGAATGAAAGTTTTCTTCACTCGGTGTCTGAGTATCTGCTGAGCCCTCACTGCCACAGTAACCACGACAACCTGTTCCAACAGCGTCGAGTCGTACGATGGCTGGGGCGATTTTTAGAATCAGGTAACCGTGGAAACAATCTCCAGGGTTTCTGACATCACGATATATGATTCGATGAAATTATTTTTCCATGTTGCTCTTGTTCGATTTGTACATACATGAATAAATGATTTAAGAAGAAACTTTATTTTGACTGATTTCATGACGTTTCTGGATTTGAACATGTTGTAACTCCCGCCTCAAAACATTGTGAAGCAGCGTGGGATCATGGGAGTTGTCTTTACCACCGTTGCCGTCGGCTTCTCCTGGTTTGGATTCCCTCAGTGTCAGTGGTTCAGGAGGTTTTTACCTGGAGCTGAACCAAAACACCTTAAGTTAAGATTTACTTCAAGTCTGAGTTAAGGTTTCCTTAACTAAAAAGAGTTGGACAAAGAACCCTGGAGTCTTCTCCTTAAGGTTTCCTTAAAATGTTCACTGACGTATTAAAGGTTTTCTCCTTATCTTAGTCTTAAGGAATCACTTAAAGTCATTTAAGCCGCTGCACAAAAGACCTTTGCGACCAAACTAAGGAAAAACTAGAACCACCTCCTCGTGGTCGTATCCCTCCGCCACTCAGACTAGTTCCAGGTCACATCCCTGTTTATCCAGAGTCAGAGAAAATATTAAACATCTGCGTGAAATTTTGTCAGAATTTCTGTGAAGTCTTAAGTAAAGGCTAAAAAGTGTTTTGTGAGGTCACACTGACCTTGACCTTTGACCACCAAAATCTACTCAGTTCATCCTTGAGTCCACGTGCACGATTGCATCACATCTGAAGAAGTTCTGTCAAAGTGTTGCTGAGATATCGCGTCCGCGAGAACGAGACAGACGGACGGACGGAGGAATAAAAACATGGAAAAACTTGCAGCCAATCACCTTCATCCGTCTGACACTCACTTTGCTTTCTGTGTTCAGGCACCTGAACAAACACAAACACAGTACAAATTCTCCTTTTAATGATTTCCAGGATGAAATATTAACAAAAGCAACAGACATCCATGAAAACTGAACAGAGGAACAAACAGTGCTAAAACTTTTACGTTTCAATGTCAGAACACCTGAAAATCTTACAAACACAACGACTCCCTGCTTTAGTTACAACACAAAAATCAGGAAGTGCAAAGGATTAAAGGAAGAGAGGGTTCAAGATGGCTTCAGGTCATGGCTTTTCTTTACTGGCCTCACTGACAGAGGAAGTCTCACAGACAACCACACAGGAAGTGAACGACAGTGGAGTTAGACTGAACAATAAAAGCGTCTTTTCATGCGAACACTCGTTAAGGTGCAGAAAGAGGAGAGGGATCAAATCTGAAAACATGGAGTCTGTTTCAGGAAGAAACTTCATCTCTGAGACGTCCGTCTTAAATAAACTGATGGTCCTGAACGCCTCGTCTCATAAAGCTGCTTCTCATAACTCTGAGTTTAGTGATTCAACGACACACCTGTGCACACAGAGGAGGTGTGGCCACAGATCCAGATCCTGGAGCAGGTTGCACTAAACACCTTAAGTTTTCTACTTAAATATGACGCTTAAGGTTAAATTTCTCCTTAGCTGAGGGAGTTACTTCAGGGCATTGGATGAAATCTCTTGAAAGGTGCAGCAGTGAAAGAGATTTCACAGCAGTAAAATTCTACTGTTTCCATGGAGACAGTTGATTGCTGCCAGTAGCACCTGTGATACCTGTGATCTCATCCTCCTGTTGTTTTAACGAGGTGAACTTTGGTCGTTAAGGGCTTTTGTGCCACAGTTTAACTGACTTAAAGTGATTCCTTGAAGTTTAAGACTAAGATGAGGAGAAAACCTTGAATACTTAAGTCAACATTTGAAGGAAATCTTAAGAAGACTTAAGGGTGTTTTGTGCAACTGTTTTTATTTTAAGAAAACTTTAACTCTTATGTTAAGGTGTTTTGTGCAACCGGCCCCAGAGCAGCACACTGACCTTAACATTTGCTGCTTTGTGAGACAAGGCCCCGCCCCTTCATGGAGTCTCGAGGAGTGCGCCAAAATTATTTAAATGAAGAATAAAATTCAAAATAAAAAGATAATTAAATTTGCCAATTAGTCATTTCTATTTTCTCTATTTTGACGATGTTTAATGATCAAATTCCATCTTCAGACTCTTTAGTTTCCTGCTTTACCATTTACAGCCGCCATCTCATCATTGCTCTGATCTAAAGACGTCACTTTTATTTTATAGAAGCAACGCCCCGGCGCTTCGTTCACGTCTTTAAAGCTACAGTACAACAAGCTCTGGGGATCAAACCAGCGGCAGCTCCTCAGCTGAAGGAGTCAGGAGCTTCTTGTGAGCCAGACACAGTGACGTCCTCCAGCAGCTAACGCTAGCTGTGAGCCTCGACGCAGGGGGAGGAGTCACAGTGAGCTCCCACAGCAGAGTTTGGCCTCCTCTGATTGGTCAACACACTGAAGGAAACATCTGTCCTCTACACATTACAAAGTTGTGCACTGTAGCTTTAAATTAAAGTCATCACAGAATAGAAACTGTAAATGTTAAAAGGAAGAAACTGATGAGAAAGTATTAAAAATTAATTTTGTGATTCAGTTATTAATCTAAAGACAGAACAGGGCAGCGGTTCTCAAAGTGCGGTCCGGGGACCCCCAGGGGTCTTGAGGGGGTTCCTGGGGCAAAAAGGGGGATAATAATAATAATAATTCATTTTAATTCCATAAGTGACACAACGACAGACTGTGAATATTTTGGTTCAAACTCTTTCAGTAATAAAACATCTAAAAACATAAATCTCCTCAGACCGGATCCTCGATGTGAGAACGTCTGAGAACTACTGGAATATGGAAATAAAAATATCAATTGTAAAATTTATATTTTCATTTTATAATGCGACATTTTATTTAATTCATGAATTTATAATATCTTTTTAAATATATCAATATATAAAACTTTAATTATTGTGATGGCACGCTAACGCCTCCGTACTCAAACACAGCTCTCGTCTATAGATACAGAATCTCTTACAGTGTTCAGTCACTTATTATTATTACAGGTTATTGACCGGGTCGACTTCACCTGTTGACATGTTTAAAAGCTTCTCCTGCTCATTGGAAACAGCAGCGTTACAGTAAATTCGCTTCATAGCACCCTGAGGCGAGCTGTGGTGGGCGGAGCTCCACAGACTCTGACTGACTGACAGTGACGGAGCTTTAAAGACGCCGTCCGACACGAACCTGCTGAGGATGAAAGACTTTGGTAAAATCAAACCTACATAAATATGGAATAAGCTGCTTTTAATACAATAAACAATATTTCCCCGTGTTATAGACAGTAAGCAGCAGTGTACATATATACTGTGGTTATATATATAACACAGTAATGCTAATATACACCAGGTGATCAGTCCATTTGTTAAAAACAAACACAGGTATAAATATACTCAAAGACTACACACTGACACACACTCTCACTCACACACACACTCACACACACACACACACACACACACACACACACACACACACACACACACACACACACACACACACACACACACACACAT